AGCTGGGATTACAGGCTTGAGCCACTGGAGCCCACCAATCCCCCCACCGATCCCTCCCACCGATCTCTCCCCACCGATCCCCCCTCACCCCAGCAACATGGACAAATACGAAGACCTGGGCCTGGAGGCCAGCAAGTTCATCGAGTACCTGAACATGTACGAGGCCTCCAGGGACGGCCTCTTCCGGGTGGACAAAGGGCCCAGCAACAACCCCGAGTTCGAGGAGACCCGGCGGGTGTTCGCCACCAAGATGGCAAAGATTCACCTCCAACAGCAGCAGCAGCAGCAGCAGCAACTCCTGGACAGCACTCTGCCCAGGGCCAGCAGCCGTGCCTCCAGCCACAGTGGGGACCCCCTGGCCACCACCCCATCCCATCGTGACCCCTCAGTGGCAGGTAGAGGGGTCACAGATGGAGCCTCCAAGCCCCCGCTTGCTGCCCCCACACTTGGGGTGACCCCCACTGCGGCCTCTGGGCAGCCTTCTTACCCCGGCCAGGAACAGAGGGCCAGGCCGTGTGTCCAGACCACCCGGCCCGGCAGCCAGGAACGGGATCCTCACCAAGGCCCCCCAAATGCTGAGCCGGGACCCTGCCAGGACCCTTCCTGCCTTACCCATGGGGACTATTATGACAACCTATCCTCCACCAGCCCCCCATGGGATCATCAGCCAGGAGTGACCCCCAGTTTGGGCTCAGGGAAGGGAAGTGGATGGTCTGATCCCCCCTTACCCAGGCCCACCGGGGAGCATCGCCAGCACCAGCCTCCACCCTCTCTGATGAGCCCCAGCAGATCTTTCCAGAGCGGCCTGGGTGGGCAGGATGGAGCTGGTCGCCACAGCGAGAAGCCGGCCGGCCTGTGGGCCACGGCCTCCTCTCAGAGGATGCACCCCACGCTCTCCCAGCCAGGCTTGGAGAACGGGGCTCCAGCGCAGCAATCCAGGAGCGCCCCTGCCTCAGTTTCCCCCAGTCAAGGAGACCTTCTGAGAACCAACCCCGGGCCAGGATGTGAAGTGTCAGGACCGGCATCCAAGTCCACCACGGCGGCCCCTCAGCCCTGGCTGCGAGATCGGCCCCTGTCTTACCTGTCCAGTTCTGCTCCCTTTACTCTGCCAGCTGGCCCCGAGAATTCCCAGCCGGATGGGGTCCCAGGGCTGGGTCCTAAGCCCCAGTGTCCAGACCTTGGCACGGCTCCGAAACTCAGTTCTACCAATCCCATCGGTCCGGTGATGTCCACTCAGCCCGATTTATCTCAGCCAGAGAGTCCTTCCAATTGGTCCCCTGAGGGTCCTGGAGGATCTGTCCTGTCTGAGAGTTCAAGTCCCTCCCGGGTGAGACTACCCTGTCAGACCCTGGTCTCCAGCTCCGAGCTCGGACCTTCTGCTGTAGAATTGAAGCTAGAAGCCCTCGCCCAGCGACTAGAGCGAGAGATGGATGCTTACCCAAAGGCCGATTATTTTGGTGAGTCAAAAGTTGGGCTGGGAAGGTGGCTCAGTGGTAGAGTGCTCGCCTAGCACACACGAAGCCCTGGGTTCGATTCCTCATTACCACAGAAAAAGCCCGAAGTGAGGTTGTGACTCAGATGGTAGAGCACCACCAGCCTTGATGAGCAAAAGAAGCTCAGGGACAGCGCCCAGGCCCTGAGTTCAAACCCCAGGACTGGCAAGAAAGAAAGAAAAAAAAAAGCCTGTAGCTTTCCACTGTGGGTGAGCTTTTTCACTCAAGGCTGGCGCTCTACCACTTGAGCCACAGCCCCACGTCTGGCTTTTTGAGTGATTGATTGGAGAGAAGTCTCGCAGACTTTCCTGTTCATGCTGGCTTCGAACTTCGATCCTCTGAACTCAGCCTCCTGAGTAGTCAGGGTGACAGGCGTGAGCCACAGGGGCCAGGTTCCTATGTAATTTTTGTCCCAGGTAAAGAGACGTGAGTGTTTTGGTTGCTGGACAAGGTCCTACCAAAGTGTCCCTTTGGGTCTATCTGCCTGCGGGAAGAGCTTGTGAACTGTGACAGCCCTTAGAGTCTGAAGATATTCTGGTTATTGATTAACTCTTCTGGTACTTTCCATGGCTTTCTTAGTAGGGCTTTCTGCTAGATCCTTTCCTGACTTTTCCGGCTGTAAGAAGGAAGGAAAGAGGTCAGGATAACTTTCCTTCCTCCTTTTTTTTTTTTTTCTGTTGTTCCTATCTTTGGGCTTGAACTCAGAACCTGGGCCCTGTTCCTGAACTTCTTTGCTCAAGGCTAACTGAAGAGTCTCAAGGACTTTGCTGCCCAGGTTGGCTTTGAACCATGCTGCTCAGATCTTAGCCTCCTGAGTAGTTAGGATTACAGGTGTGAGTCATTGTGCTCAGCTTTTGTCTTTAATAGATGTATTTATGGGGTACAGTGGGGCATTTCAACTCATGATACAATATAATAATAATACTATACTATGTAATCTAATAATAATAATATCAGGGTCATTGGCCTGTCACCTTAGACATTTTTCCGTTCTTTTTTTTTTTTTTCTTTTACTTGTGTGTGTGTACTGGTATTGGGACTTGAATTCAGGCCACTTTTTCACTCTTGGCTTTTTTGCTTAAGTCTAGCCCTCTACCATTTGAGCCATAACTCTACTCCTGCCTTTTTTTAAATTGGTCATGGGTCTTAAACTCTGGGCCTGGGCACTGTCCCTCAGCTCTTTAACTCAAAGCGAGCGCTCTACCACTTGAGCCACAGCACCACTACTGTTTTTCTGGTGGTTTAGTGGAGATCAGAGTCTCACAGCCCTGTCTGGGCTGGCTTTGAATTGCCATCCTCAGATCTCAGCCTCCTGAGTAGCTAGGATTATAGGCGTGAGCCACTGGCGCCTGGCTTTTCTGCCTTTTTAAAAACAATTAAATTGTTATTATTAAGATGATGTATAGAGAAGTTATAGTTACATAAGTCGGATAGAGTGCATTTCTTTTGGGACTATGTCACCCCTCCCTCTCTCTCCCCTTCTGTTCCGCTTACAAGTTGTATAGTTCATTTTCCACAGTGTCTAGTGCATATTATACTTCTGCCTTTTTTTTTTTTTTTTTTTGCTAGTTACTGGAGATAACAGTCAAATTTGTCATCCCAGGTTAATTTCAAACCTTGATTCTCAGATCTCAGCCTCTTGAGGTAGGAGCTAGCTTGGAGATGAGTTTTTTTTTTTTTTTTTGGGGGTCCGGTTGTGGGGCCTGAACTCTGGGCCTGGGCACTGTCCCTCAGCTCTTCAGCTCAAGGCTAGCGCTCTACCACTTGAGCCACAGCGCCACTTCCGGCTTTTTTCTTTTTGCTTATGTGGTGCTGAGGAATCGAACCCAGGGCCTCAGGCATGCAAGGCAAGCGCTCCACCACTGAGCCACCTTCCCAGCCCAGAGATGAGCTTTTTAGCTTCCACATATTTTTCTTTCTCAGTTCTGGGGCTTGAACTCAGGGCCTAGGTGCTATCCTTGAACTATGTGGCTCAGGGCTAGCACTCAACCACTTTGAGCCACAGCTCCTCTTCTGGTTTTTCTGGTGGTTCATTGGAGATAAAAACTTTCCCAGACTTTCCTGTCCAGGCTGGCTTAGAACCGTGATCCTCAGATCTCAGTCTCCTGTGGTAGCTAGGATCACAGGTGTGCGCCAGCTTGGAGAGGAGCTTTGTTAGCTTCTACCTCTAAGGGGGCCTGGTTCATTTCATTTTACAGGATCAAGGGCAAACTGGTTTGAGGGACTCCATGGAGAAGGAGTCCATTTTCCTGGCATTTGTTGGTCTTGGAAGACATAGTGTGGATCCTGTCTGTACTATCTGTTGTTCACGCTGCAGGGGGGAGGTGAAGAGGGCATTCTTGGGCTTTTAAGGTTCAGTGGTAACCCTGACCTTCTCTTCCATGATGCCTGTCTTGCCCACACTGGTCCTCCTTTCCATTACTGAGAAAGGGCCAAGGGGCCTGGCACCGGTGGCTCACGCTTGTCATCCTAACTACTCAGGAGGCTGAGAGCTGAGGATCGCAGGTCAAAGCCGGCCCTGGAGGACACATCAGTGAGACTCTTAGCTCTGGTAAACCAGCAAAAAGCTGGAAGTCGAGCTCTGGCTCAGGTGGTAGAGCATCAGCCTTGAGGTCCTGAGTTCACGTTCCAGTACTAGAACACATACACACACACACACACACACACACTCAGACACAGACAGACAGACAGACAGACAGACACTCACACACATAAACACACGTCACCAAGTAAACCATCTGAGTTCTCTGGGAAACTGACCCCCCCCAGAGAGTTTAGTGTGTAGGAGGCTTATTTAGGGGTGCTGCTGTTGTTAGGGTTCCCCATTAACCATGCAAGGGAGCCTGGGAGTTACAAATACCCTGGATAGCCATGTTGAGTTGGCTCCACATTTCTTGACCTTTGGCTCTCCCTCATGGATTCAGTCACTGGATGTGGGCTGCTTTGGGAATCTGGTGACCTCAGGCGAAGTGGCCTTAGCAGCTGGAGCCATCTCGGGACTGGGGCTAAAGGCCGTGAGGGTCACCCACCTACCATGCTGCATACCAGCCACTGGGCTGTGGTTTCTGTGAAACTTCTGTCTCAACTTCCCTGCTTGGGATAGGTCAGGAAAACATGACCTTGGGCCTTCTGGTTTTGTTTGTTTGGGGCTTGAACTCCGGGCCTGGGCGCTGTCCCTCAACTCTTCAGCTCAAGGCGAGCGCTCTACCACTGGAGCCACAGTGCCATTTCCGGTTTTCCAGTGTGGTTTATTGGAGATCAAAGTCTCACGGACTTTCCTGCCTGGGCTGACTTTGAACTGTGATCCTCCGATCTCAGCCTCCTGAGCTGCTAGGATGACAGGCGTGAGCCTCCAGCGCCGGGCTCTGTTGAGGTTTGCTGTGTGCGTTGTAGACATTGGTTTAGCTCCGTGGGAAGTAGTATTCTTTGTTTCTGGTAGAGAAACTGGTACCCTGAGGGATCAGGTGACTTGCTCAAGAACACAGGTATGAGAAGTATGAAAAGAAATGGAGCCTCTACCCTGGGGCCTGCCTGGGCTTTTTTTCCCCCTTTTTTCTCCTTTGATGGCTTGAGCGCTGAGGCTTGGTGGTCTATTAGGTGAGAGCTGGATTTCTGCCGTTGAACCCTTGAGATTTGCAATCTTATCACAGGCTGCCAGAGCATCTGTGGTTTTCTTTTCCCTTCCTGCACACTCAAGATATTGATCTCTGTGTGTGTTTGTGTGTGTGTGTGTTTTGGTCAGTCATGGGACTTGAACTCACAGCCTGTGCACTGTCCTGGAGCTCTTTTGCTCAAAGCTAGCACTCCACCACTTGGAGCCACAGCCCCACTTCTTGCCCAGGCTGGCTTTGAACCGGGATCTTCAGATCTCAGCCTCTTGAGTGGCTGGGATTACAGGTATGAGCTACCAGTGCCCACTAAAATGTTGGATCTTGTAGCACCCGTGTGGTCAGGACAGCACCCCACCCCAGCCTGCTTGGCCCCGTCTTATAATCCTCCCTTGTGTGGATCGAGTTCCCACACTGTCTTGCTTGTCCCATCCTGCCTTCTCTTGGTCCCGGCCCATCCCTCCGGGGACATTATGTTTTTGCTCTTTGACTTTGGGACTAGGAAAGAATGTCCGTCCAGTTTTCCTGGATTTTCCATTAATAACCCACAGCATGAAACTGAACTTTTGACATGGCCTCTGTGTGTGTGTGTGTGTGTGTGTGTGTGTGTGTGTGTGTTGGTACTAGGACTTGAACTCAGGGCCTGGAATGAACTCAGGGCCTTTCCTTTTTTTTTGGGGTGGGGGGTAGGTCGTGGGTCTTGAACTCTGGGCCTGGGCGCTGTCCCTCAGCTCAAAAGCTCAAAGCTAGCACTCTACCACTTGAGCCACAGCGCCACTTCTGGTTTTCTGGTGGTTTATTGGAGATAAAGAGTCTCCCAGAGTTTCCTGCCCAGGCTGGCTTTGAACCGTGATCCTCAGATCTCAGCCTCCCTGAGTAGCTAGGATGACAGGCATGAGCCACCGGTACTGGGCTTTATTTCTTTTACATTTGTTAACATGTGACTTTCATCTTGGTGACAGTCCTGTGGAAGAAATCATCCAGTAGGGGGCGCTGGTGGCTCGTGCCTGTGTCATCCTAGCTACTCAGGAGGCTGAGATCAAAGGCTCAATCACCAGCCCTAAAGGTCTTGGAAGGTTTTCACTGTAGCTGACCTAGGTATGGTCTACACAGGGACATCTGGGAGCATTGGTTTGGGGTGCTGAGTGTCCATATTTTTCCTGACATATCCTTGGCTTCCTCTGAGGTTTCCTGTGTGGGTCCTGGGCAATGCTGGCTCTCGGGCTTGGTCATTTGACCCAGTACCTGTGCCCAAGGCCTAGCACTGTGTCCCAGTGCCCTAATGTTAAGTGGAATGGCTCACTGGCCGTCTGCTTGGGAGAATGGATGGGGCCTGAGCTGGTGTGTGAGGAGACAGGGACTTTTATTTTATGTTTGCCAGCCCTAGGGCTTGAACTCAGGGCCTACGTGATGGCCCCCCTGAGTCTCTTTGTGCTCCAGGCTAACACTACTACTTGAGCCACAAAGTCACCTCCAGCTTTTCCTGAGCGGTTCATTGGAGATAAGAGTCCCTCAGGCTTTCCTTCCCCTGGGCTGGCCTCCAACTGCGATCCTCAGAGCTCAGCCTCCTGAGTAGCTAGGATGACAGGCGGGAGCCACCATTCTTTTAACGATCAACATTTTCCACACGGGGAAACCCAGGCACCCAAAAGTTAATGAACCTATCTCATCCGTATACCTATCTAATCCTAACCTCAGTGGTCCAGCTTTTTTACCTCTGTCCTATCATATCTCAGTAGTTCCGGGGAAACTCCAAGACCCCAGGACAAAGGGAACTTCCTGAAGCCCTGGGGACCATATGGAAGGCAAAGAATGTTAGAGGAACTAGCTGGAGGAGCTGGATTCTTCTCTTAGTTGGGCAACATCTGGATTTCTGTTTTTCTGTCCAGGAGCCTGTGCATAGATGGGCATCACTGGGACAGTTGGCTTAGTGATCAGGCTACTGATCTTCCTTCCTTCCTTCCTTCCTTCCTTCCTTCCTTCCTCCCTTCCTCCCTTCCTCCCTTCCTCCCTTCCTTGCATGACAGATGTGAGCCACCAGAACCTGGCTTCCATGAGACTCTTATCTCCGATGAAACACCAAAAGAGCCGGAAGTTGAGCAGTGGCTCAAGTGGTAGAGCGTGCTAGCCATGAGCAGAAAAAGCCCCAAGTTCAAGCTCCAGGACTGGAGCTTGAAAAAAAGGCTTTCTACCTGGGCGCTGGTGGCTCACGCCTATAATCTTAGCTACTCAGGAGGCTGAGATGGCTTGGGCAGGAATGTCCATGAAACTCTTTTTACCTCCAATTAAAACACCAAAAAGCTGGAAGTGGCACTGTGGCTCAAGTGGTTAAGTGCCAGCCTGGTGTGGAAAAACTAAGGGAAAGCAGCATCCGAGGCCTTGAGTTCAAGCCCCTGAACCAGCACACATACGCACATGCACAAATAATCTATCCTGAATGTAGGCCTTCCTACCTGGGTGGCTGTCCTGGTTCAGAGTGGCTTTTGGGGCAAGCATCTAAAGACCCATTTGAGCTGGGCACTGGTAGCTTACGCCTGTAACCCCAGCACCTTGTGCCCTGGCTTGGCTCTTTTTGTTGTTGTTGTTGTTGTTTAAGGCTGAGCCTTAAACTTGAACCAAACTTCCATTTCTGCCTTTTGCCCAGTTAATTACCTATTAAAAAAAAAAAATCGCATGGACTTTCCTACCTGGGCTGACTTTGAACCTCAATCCTTAGATCTCAGCCTCCCGAGCAGCTAGGATGACAGGCGGGAGCCACTGACAAGTGGTGATTGGTCAGTTTTGATATAGTTTATTGGAGATAAAAGCCTCACAGGCTTTCCTTCCCAGGCTGGCTTTGAACCACGATCCTCCAGACCTCAGCCTCCTGAGTAGCTTGGGATTACAGGCATGAGCCACCAGTGCCTAGCGATCATTCCCAGTTCACAGTAGAGGTGAGCAAGCTCACTGGCCTCTACTATATGGTTAGGGGGGGAGAAGAGTTTGTTGTTCTTTTACAGAAATCCAGGGTAGGATGCCTGGCCGCCAGCTGCAGGAGCCATGATAAGAGAAGGGTGGAGTACAGGGCTTGCTGAGGGGGGGCTTTGAACTCCCTCCTTGGAGGAATGGAGAGGGCTGGGAGCTGTAGAAGTGGGCCTGCACGTGCACACACAGTGCGCGCGTGCACGGAGTCTATGGGGAGAAACTCTGAGCAGGACAGTGATTTGGAGATTTGCAAGAAAGGCTTCCGTTGCCATGGTAACCAAGGGATGCCATCATGCCGCCAGGAAGCCACTGGTGTCTAAAGGGTTGGTGAAGAAAGGACTGGAGCAATGTCTGTAGGGGAGAGTGACCTTGAGTACTTCCTTTGTGGCTGGAGGAATGACCTCAGCCATTGCATCAGGAACTGGGTGTGTGGTGTGTGTGTGTGTGTGTGTGTGTCTCCAGGTACTGCCCTGTCTGCACCTATGCTTACCAGTCTCAGCTTTAGCTGGGGACCTGTGTACTGGATTAGGGGGTCCTGCAGCTTGAACTCAGGGCTTGGACAGTTTTCTCTGAGCTTTTATACGCTCAAGGCAAGCGCTCTACCATCTGCACCACCCCTCCACTTGTGTCTTTCGTTTTTGGCGGTTCATTGGAGAGAAAAGATTCTCCCAAAGATGGGTACTGGTGGTTCACGCCTAATACTCCCAGCTACTCAGGAGGCTGAGATCTAGAGGATCGTGGTTCAAAGCCAGCCAGGGCAGGAAAGTCCATGATACTCTGATCTCTAGGAAACTACCAGGAAACTGGAAGTCGAGCTGTGGCTAACAGTAGTAGAGTTAAAAAAAAAAAATGCTCAGGGATGGTGTACAGGCCCAGAGTTCAAGCCAGAGTCCCACAGGACTTTCCTGCTTGGGGTAGCTTTGAACCACGATCCTCTAGATCTCAGCCTCCTGAGTAGCTGGGATGACAGGCGTGAGAACCTTTGTCTGTCCATGTACCGTATGCCAAATGGTTTTCTCCTGACTCAAACGGGATCTTCCTTGTTTCTGTGTCTTAACGATCTGAATGTTGAGGACCTTCCTTCCTTGCTTTGTAATCTGTCTCCCGGGTCAGAGTGGAGAGGAAGGATGTCAGCCACGTGAAGGAGGGAACCCCGGGAGCCCAGAGATCGCTGGGGGGCAGGGGGGAGGAGGAAGAGGTGAGCACAAATAAAGACTAAAAGACCCAGTGTTGATGTAGGGGGGAGGGGGTTGGGGCGGGGCTCAGCGAGCAAAAGACTGGCATCTGAGATAAAGTGCCAGGAGGTGGGACATTTGTTACACTGTCCAATTGCAAGCTGCCATCTGTGCCCCGCCCCCCCCTTTTACTTTAGGAACTGGAGTGGGAAGGATTGGCGGGAATCAGTGATTTGGCCTGTCATCCGAGCTACTCAAGAGAGCTGAGAGCTCAAGAGCTGATGGTTCGAAGCCAGCCCGGGCAGAAAAACTTCATGAAGCTTATCTCCAATGAAACATTAAAAAAAAAGAGAATTAAAAAAAAAAAAGCCAGAAGTGGAGCTGTGGCTCAAGTGGTACAGCGCTAGCTTTGAGGGGAACAAAAAGGCTCAGAGTCAGCACCCCAGGCCCTGAGTTCAAGCCCTGGGACTGGGACCAAAAAAAAAAAAAAAGTGAAAGAAGTGGGAGGGATGGTCAGACTTTTATCCCAGGACTCTCTGAACAGGGTGAGTTCACAAGTCATGCTGTGTCTCCTGCATAGGTTATTGGGGGTTGATTATATTCATGTATGGAAATGTTGTAGGGTCTCCATCTTTGTCTAGGCTAGCCTGAACTGCCATACTCCAGTGTATACTCCATGCATAGCTTGAATACCACACGCATGCCACTGTATCCAGTTTTTAGTTTGTTGAGATATGAGGGTGTGTGTGTGTGTGTGTGTGTGTGTGTGTGTGTGTGCTGGTCCTGAGGCTTGAACTCAGAGCCTGGGAACTGTCCCTTACCGTATTCACTCAAGCCTGATGCTCTACCACTTTGACCCATAGCTCCTCTTCCAGGATTTTGCATGGTTAATTGGAGATAAAGAGTTTCACAAGCCAGGAGCCGGTGGCTCACGCCTGTCATCCCAGCTACTCAGGAGGCTGAGATCTGAGGATCGAGGTTCAAAGCCAGCCTGGGCAGGAAAGTCGGTGAGAACTCTGATCTCCAATAAACCACTCAGAAAACTGGAAGTGGCGCTGTGGCTCAAGTGGTAGAGCGCTCGCCTTGAGCTGAAGAGCTGAGGGACAGCGCCCAGGCCCTGAGTTCAAGCCCCACGACCGACAGCTAAGATGACGGATCTAAAGCTACTGGCACCTGACAGAGGTGGGGGTCTTGGGGACTTACAGCCTCGAACTTTGATCCTCCAGATCTCTGCCTCCCAAGTCACTGGGATGACAGTTGTGAATTAGCTTGGTCGCCGCCACCTCTGTGGCTCGGTGTCTACCACCGTTCCTTCCTGACCTGGGGTGTGTTCTTTGTCCACAGGAGCCTGTGTGAAATGCAGCAAAGGAGTGTTTGGGGCTGGCCAGGCCTGCCAGGCTATGGGAAATCTCTACCACGATGCCTGCTTCACCTGTGCTGCTTGCAGTAAGTGTGTGTGTGTGGCCTTGTAGGGTGGTTAAGCTTCTGGGGCTTGAACTCAGGGCCTGGGCACTGTCCCTGAGCTTTTCTGCTCAAGGTGAGCACTCTACCACTTTGAGCCACAGCTCCACTTTCCTGCCTGGAATTGGCTTTGAATCACGATCTTCAAATCTCAGCCTCCTGAGTAGCTAGGATGGCACTCACCCAGTTGTCAGGTCAGTCTGGGTAAATACGGGTACCGTGCAGGAATCTTGAGTGTACCCAGATACACATATTGACAAGAAACAGCCACGTGTAGTTCATTTTTAGCTCTGAGAACCACACACCACAACCACAAAGGCAAATTTAAAAGAAGCCTGCTGCGTGAGCATTTCAGTGCAGCTATTTTTTTTTTTTAACTTGGGTGTGTTTTTTTTCTCCTTGCAATTTGGGTTCACATGGGTGTATTTCTTTTTTTCTTCCTTTCTGGACTTGTGATCCTCATGTATACACAGCGAATCATTTTTGATTTCCCAGACGAATCATACATGAGCATCACATTAACGAGTCCTAGGGTCAGGGCTGAGTTCATTTGAACCACAGTGGGAGGGAGGGGGGCTTGCTGTGGTGGGGAAGGGGGGGGTTGTGGGTTGTGGGTGGCCCTCTGCTGGCCTGTTTCCTTGGATTTCCTTCTCGGAAGGAAGCATTCAGAAGACCGACGTGTGGGTGTCTGTGTGGCTTGGGAAATAAAAGTTCTCTTGTTTTGGGAGGAGGATGTTTGGTTACCATGGCAACGTGGGCTGTGGAACTTCTCCCCTAACCCAAGCCCTGCCCACTGGCCAAGACAGGATCTTGCATGGGATGCTTCCCGGAAGCTGTTGGCCCAGAGAGGAAGGAGCCTTCCTCTTCCCTTTCCCTTCCCTTTCTCTTTTTCCTTTCCCTTTCCTTTCTCTTTCTCTTTCCCTTTCCATTTCCATGTCCCTTTCCTTCTGTGCTGGTCCTGGGGCTTGAACTCAGGGCCTGGGTACTATCCCTGAGCTCTTTTTGCTGAAGACTACCACTTTACCACCACTTGCAGCACCACTTTAGCACCACTTGCAGCTTTGTTTTGGTGGCCAGGCTGGCTTTAAACAGCAATCCTCCGATCTCAGCCTTCTGAGAAGCTAGGCTTGTAAATATAAGCCAGCCGCCAGTGCCCAGCCTGTTTCTCTTTTTGGGGGGAGGGGAGGTTTGAACTCAGGGTCTTATGTTCTTGCTTGACTTTTTTACTCAAGACTTGTACTGTACCATGTGAGCCACAGCTCCACTTTGGGCTTTTTATAGGACTAATTTAGCAATAATAATTTTTATTAGTATTATAATTAACTTAATATTATAATAATTATAATTACTTTATTGCTATTATAGAGGTGTTGTACAGAGGAATTACATTTATACGAGTCAGGTAATGAGTTTATTTCCTTTTGTGTAGTGTCTTCTGTTCCCCTCTTTCACAGACTTTTTTTTTTTTTTTTTGGTCGGTCGTGGGGCTTGAACTCTGGGCCTGGGCACTGTCCCTCAGCTCTTGAGCTCAAGGCCAGCGCTCTACCACCTGAGCCACAGCGCCACTTCCGGTTTTCTGGTGCTTAACTGGAGATAGGAGTCTCACAGCACCCTAGCTCTGGGGTTCACGCCTCCACCACCTCCCCTCTCCCCCCAGGGACCTGAATGCATCCACAAAAAGATTGATTTCCTGTTCAGATTCCTTCGCATTTCTGAGTTCCATTGCCAGTACGCAGAGTCTGGTGTGTTGGCTCCTTCTAGTGGCTGCACCTGTAACTGCAGCCTTACCAACCTCCATCACATCCCAAAGCTAGCTAGATACTCTCTCCACTTTGGGATCAGACAGTGTGAGTAGTGACTTCCTTTTCCATTTCGGTTGTTCAGTTCTCCCGAGGGTGGGCTGTTTGTGTCCTTGTCACGTCTTCTGTTAAAAGACAGAAGACAGCACACGAGCTCTCCTCCAGGTGATTGATGAGGGGTTATTCAACCTAGTCCTTGTTTGCTTTTCCAAAGATTGAGATCTCTAGACTCAAGAAGTCAAGCAGACAATTAAAATGAATGAAGTAAACAAGTAAAAAGAATTAAAATTAGTTTTACAGCTGTTGGTCAAGAAGTTGAAGTCATTTAACTGTGGGACAGTGACCCTTCCTTTCTTCCTTCCTTCCTTCCTTCCTTTCTTGTTTTTGGTCGGTCATGGGGCTTGAACTCTGGGCCTAGGCACTGTCCTTCAGCTCTTGAGCTCAACCACTTGAGCCACAGCGCCACTTCTGGTTTTTTAGTGGTTTATTGGAGATCAGAGTCTTGCCGACTTTTCTCCCTAGGCTGGCTTTGAACTGTGATCCTCAGATCTCGGCCTCCTGAGTAGCTAGAATGATAGATGTAAGCCACCGGTGCTTTGTTGGTTTGGTTTTGAGACCAGGCTTTTTTTTGTTTTGTTTGTTCTTTCTGTGTGTGTATGTATGTGCTGGTCTTGGGGCTTGAACTCAGGGACTGGGTACTGTCCCTGGGCTTCTGCTTTCCCTATGATTTACCTATATGGCCCTTCCCAGGAATTGACTGGACTCGACATTCACCACCCACCCCCTTGTGGCCACATGCTGAATTACCTTTTTTTTTTTT